AAAGAACTAACAGATCTGTCCTGGAGGAAGTGAAGCCAGAATGCTCCTTGGAAGTGAGAATGGCCAGGCTTCGTCTCACATACTTTGGTCATGTTGTCAGAAGGACCATTCCCTGGAGAAGGATGTCATGCTTGGTAAGGTGGAGGGTCGACAAAAGAGGGGAAGGCCTTCAATGTGATGGATTGACACAGTGGCTGCGACAGTGAGCTCAAATATAGCAAGGATCATGGAGCTGGCACGGTATCAGATGGTGTTTTGTTCTGCTGTTCATGGGGTTGCTATGAGTTGGAAACAATTCGACGGCACTTAACAACAATAACAACAACAACAACAAAATCCTCCCAACTGGTACCAGTTTTTACTGTGGAGGTCTCTGTGTGAATGTGTTCAGATTCCTGAAGCTGAATAGCCATCCCTAATAGGCATAGAGAATCTACTCACACATTGTCCAGGGTGTGTTGGCCTGGGAATTTCTAATGGGGAGATCCAGGGAAAGGATACTGTGGAAGTCCCACACTGAATTCTGGAAGCGCAGGTACTAGTTTCCTATATTTCTCAAGAATAATCTGCATAGTTGTAGGGGAGCATAAAGACTAAATTTAATCACTGAGCTTAAGGGGTAAAGTCCTCTCAGTAGACAAGAGGGGCATTATATGTAATGAGAGCAGTTTTCTAAGTTGGGACTCAGGAGTTTAATTTCTTGGCTCTCTACACACTGGATAGCATTGAAATTAAATCTTTTTAAAACCTCTATAGTAGGAATAATTATTCTCTTTACTTTTCTACAGTGCACATTTAGGATTAAGGAAGTCAAGGCTTGTATGTTTCAAAATCCGCCACAGAAAGTGAGTTATCAGTGCAATGAGCTTAAGATAGAAGGTGCTTTGGAATCACTGATAATTTTCTGGGCATGTGACATTTTGAAGTGGTAGTTTGAGAAGGCATTTTTGACAACAGAGACTTTTTTCCGTAGCCACTTTGAGGTGGTGGTTTTGATGTAGGATCCTTTTGATGGGTCTGTTAAGCTTGTTGCTTAAAAAAAAAAAAAATCACTCACTAATGTACACAAATACTACCGCCTCTTCCACCTCTCAATGATGCCAGGACGTGCAGTGGGGGCCACGGAAGGGGTATGGGAGTGGGAAGGGGTGAGGCCAAGAGCCCAACTAGTCACCATCTGTCAGACAAGGCACACATGACTGGGAGTCATACGCCTGCCACAGTTGCCCATCTTAGAAAGGACCACTGATCATTTTAAGCAGAGTATCTGCTCATGCTCTAGGAATTTGCTTGTGCCTTAAATGGACAACATCCTAAATTCTCTTTTTTTTAAAATTGAAAGACCTTATGTGTGTGCTGAGGGTGAGGGAGATACTTAAACCACAATATCATCCCTTATCCTCAGTTCTTGGCTGCACAGGAAATCCTCAATTAGATTCATGAGAGTCATCTCCAGACTCTTAATAATGCACATTCATTATATTTAATATCACAAAGTCCCTTTGAAGGATAGCTTTAGGAACAGGGCTAAGGGCCACTTACAGGCAAGCATAGTTCTTACAGACTGTTAGTAATTTGTACAATTTTTTTTTATAAAAGCAACCTGAGAAGCAGTACATATTCAGAAAACTCAAATGGCAAAGAAATTAACAAAACTGACAATTACTTTACCATTTATGTGACGGTTTGCTGAGGCTGCTTCCAAAAGGCTGCTTCCAAAAGGCTGCAGGACCAGAATCTCCTCAGTTTCCAGACATTATTCCCATTAATCATGTCATTTTTTAAATTATTGTGATGAATATATATGTGAGAAAATATTGACCGTTTCAGCGATCTTCACATGTACAGGTCAGTGCCATTAGTCATGTTTATCGTGTTGGTCAGTTATCATCCTTACCCACTCCCAAAATTTCCCATCATTTTTAGAAGCACAGTATCCCCTAAGCATTGAGTCCTCTTTTCCCCTGTCTGTCCTGCCTGGTTTGCCATTTAATCTTAATGATTACCCTGTGGAGTGACTCGGTGCTTTATCTTGATCACTTGGCCAGGAAGTGAGATAGGTTCTGGCTGACTGGCCACTGGGTCACCAGCTCTACAGCTCCATCGCCAGAACTCAAGGTACCAGATCCTAACTAGAGCCCTGAGCGCTGCTCCTCCTCTGTGTTCATCCCGAGACAGTGGGCCCAGCTGGGAACTGGGAATAGACCATCTTCTGGTGCGAGAAGGGGAGCAAGTACCCTTAGCTTGTTTAATATTATTGTTATTGCTGTTAAATGGATGTTCAAAACTCAGCCAAACTCATTGCCATTGAGTTCACTCCAACTCATAGCGACCCCCATTGAGTTTCCAAGACTGTAAATTTTTATGGAAGTAGATTACCACATCTTCCTTCCACCGAATGGCTGGTAGATTTGAACCGCTGACCTTTTGCTTAGCAGCCAAATGCCTTATCCACTCTACCACCAGAGCTCCTTAAATGGATATTGTATTTTACAAAATTAAGCAGAACACACTTGGATGAAGTAAATAGAAACTGTCTGCTTTGCTTCCTCCCTCCCTAGAGGTAACCCTAGATCTAGTTGAGTTTATCTCTTCAGACACACGTGTGGGTGTTGTGTATGCTAAAGTATGTGTGTGCATTTGTGTCTGTGTGTGTGCATACACACACACACATGTGTTTACTAGTCTGTAGTTTGCTGTTTTCACCGAACAGTATACTGTGGTCGGTGTCCATGTCAGGCTTTCATTGTGAAGGGATTTACCTCATTTTTTGGAACCATCTTAACTGCCTCCCTTTTCCTGTCTCCTCTTAAATCAGTCAAGTCCAGACAATTTTTACCCTTCCCAGTATAGTTTGAATATATCCTCTCTTCTTCACCCTGCTCCTTCCTACCAGTGGGCTCAACTCAGATCTGCTGTATCAGATCTCTGAATGGCATGGGGCCTAGGAATCTGCATTTTAGCAAGCTCCCTGGGTGATCCTCATGCTCACTACAGCTTTGAAGACTGGTCGGTCCCTAATCTGGCATTTGAGATGCTCTATGAGCTGGCACGCTCTGCTCCTCAGCCTGGCTCCCACCCTCCCTGGCCTTGCACTTTATGCTCTGGTGGTTCCCAACACATCCTGCCCTTTCATGCTCCCATCCTTCTGCCTTTGCTGCCCCCTTGGACTGTGCCTCCTTCCCCTCCCAGGACGTCTTCGCTGACTCCAGCTGCACTGAGTGCTTCTCCTGAGCCACTGCCACACCATGTAGGCAGCTACATGGATTCACTTACCAGAGGGTATCACAGCGATTTGAGCTTTTAAGGGCAGCCCACACCTGACTCATAATTCAGCACCTGGCAATGGCACATAGTAGACTTAGTTTGAAACAGCCAAGTGGTGGGTCTAGGACTAGGCTCCTGGACTGGTTCTGGGTAGAGGGGTTGGGGTACACTGATGAGTGAGGAGCCTGGGAGAGGTAGAGAGCATCTTAGTCTGGGGTCTGTTGGGCTCTTCCCTGAACAGCAGGTGGCGCTGACCCTCCTGGTCCTCCCTGTACTAGGCCACCGCAGCCTGGCAGGCAACACCAGTCTCTTCTGAAACCCTTTGGCTCTGTGGTGGGAGGGTGTGTAGTGTCCACTGCTCTCTGAAGAGGCAGCCACTGGGGTACCTTCCAAGCTGCAAACTCGGGTGCATTGCTGATGCCGGGTTTCCTGATTGTGGTTTTGCTAGGATGCTGGTGGAGAAGTTCTCTGTGTCGCAGCAGGTCATCCCGCAGGTCCATCCGGGAGAGACTGTGTTTCTGCCCAGGCATCACCCCCAGCCGTGCATCCTGGACTGTTCACACCTAAAGCCTCGTAGCCACCTAGAAGGGCTGTTCCTCAGGTATGTGTGCACATGGGTCCAGTGGTAAGGGTGACCCCACGTAAGGAAATCCATAGCCATGTTTTGGCTAATTTGGGTATGTCAACTTTTAGAAGACAAGATAACCCTACATGTCTACTTACAGTATTTAATTTACTAATTTAGGTGCACATACTTTTTAAAATCCTACATTATACCAAATATTAAATCATTTTTATACATATATATATATTGTTTTGACCTCTTCCACACTTCAGTTTCATGAAGCAGCTTTAGTAAAACTCATCACATATATCTTTGGCATTATGTCTCCATCCACCCTGAAACCATTCCTGGACCATCCAACACAGTTTTCCATAGCACGTTGTCATCTTCACTTCCATCCACTTGTTCAAGACACTTCTAGAGCCTGTGTATAATGCTAATGTTGAAAATTTTGTCCCCAGCACAAGCATACCCTCTGTCAACAGAGCAGCTGCCTTGTGGAAGTAAATTCATGATCATGATCACACAACTGCTGTGTTGCTTGTTAAGGATATCTTTTTTTTAAAAAAAAAAAAAAAACCTCATCACAATAATATTCTACACTTGCAATTGTGAGTTAATGTGTCTAAGAGTAAGAGGGAGAGGATGCCTGCAGGATTCAGAGACATGGCTGCCCAGTGGGAGCTTAGGCAGACCAGTGCTTTGCTGGGACTGGAAGGCCAGGTGAGAGGATAGAGAGGAGACCACACACAAACACACCCCTTGTGAGCACAGAGGGAGGCTGCCTCTGCCATCTCTTCAGGCCTGATTAAGACTTGAGTGCAGGAGCCTTGCTGTCCTTTCTAGCAGTTCAGGGCTTGCTTATGTCTATTTTATTGATTCTGTTGTTGTTGCATGCTTTTGAGCCAATTGCAGCTTATAGTGACCACATGTGATAGAGGAGAACTGCCCAATAGGGTTTTCTAGGCTATAATCGTTACAGAAGCAGATCACCAGGTCTTTGTCCCACAGAGCCAATGGTGGGCAGAACTGCTAACCTTTCAGTTTGCGGCTGAGTGCTTTACTATTGCCATCACAAGGGGTCCTTTTATTAATTCTAAATCCATCTTACTCTGTAATATAAAGATTATAACTCTTGCCATTTTGATGTGCTTCCTTTAAAACTTATTATTATGGAAAACTTCAAACATAAATAAAAGTAGAGAGGATAGTATAATGTACTTCCTTGCACCCATCAGCCTCAACAAATGATCAACTCAAGGCCAGTCTTTTCTCATCTATACTCCCACCTACTGACATCATCTGACCCACCTACCCCACCCCCGGGATTAATTACAAACAAACCTCATACTCACATGATTTAATGATTTATAGTTCATCTCTAAAAGATAACCCTCCATTTTTAGATATAACATCAATGCTTATAGTATAATACCAAACCATACACACTGCCGTGGAGTCAGATCTAACTCACAGTGACCCCTCCTTGTGTTTCTGAAGTGGTATCACTGCAGAAGTAGATTGCCCAACCTTCCTTCGGAGGAGTGGCTGGTGGGTTTGAACCGCCAGCCTTCTGGTTAGCAGTCAAATGCCTTAGGTACTATGCCACCAGAGCTCCTAATAGTATAATAGTAATCCCTGAATATCATTAATATCAGTCAGTGTTCAGGTATCCTCAGTTGTCTTCCTATGTTTTTTTATTGGTGGTTTGAATCAGGATCTAAATTAGGTCCAAATATTGCAGTTACAATGTTAATGCAATATAATGTTAATGATGAAATAACGTTGCATTTCTTCGTTCTTTTTGATGTATATATTAATTCCATCTTTTTCCTATTATAAACAATATGGTGGAGAAAATTCTTAGGAATGAACATTTGTCTGGAGGTCCAGAATATATTCCTAGATGTGAGATTATTGAGTCTAAGATTATGAACATTATAAAGGTTTATATTGCCACATTGATGCATTTGGCATTTGGATTATGGTGTTGGCAAAAAACAGTGATTACACCATGGACTGCCAGAAGAATGAACAAATCTGTCTTGGATGAAGTACAGCCAGAATGTTCCTTTGAAGTGAGGATGGTAAGACTTCATCTCACTTTCTTTGGACATGTTATCAGAAGGATGAGGATATCATGCTTGGTAAAATAGAGGGTCAGCAAAAAAAAAAAAAAAAAAGGAAAACACTGAATGAAATGAATTGACACAGTGGCTCTAACAATGGGCTGAGTCACAGCAACAATTGTGAGGATGGGACAGGACCGGGCATTGTTTTATTCTGTTGCATGTAGTGGCTCTGTGGGTTGGAACCAACCAGAGAGCACTCAACAACAACAATATCTCCAAATTGAAAAGATATCTAATTAGAAGATAATGAAGTGTTCATGGGGGTGTGGGGTAAATGAAAGGAAAAAAAGGAAGATAATGGAAATAGGAAGGAGAGTGACAAGGAATGAACTGGGAGGAAGCGGAGAAGAGAGAGAATGGAAGGTGTTTTCTTGTGCTGGTTTGGCTTTGTGATTTGTGCCAACAACACATTTTCTGTCACTGACTTGATGGGAGCGCAGGAACTGTTTGACAGATGAGATGGCCTATGGAGCAGTGACCTGGGATCAGAGTGTCCCTGCCAAATGGGGCCAGGTGGCTGCCCAGCTTCCCTGGAGTGAGAGGTTCAGACCCTCCTTCCGCAGATATGGTAATGAGTGCAGTGGGAGATGGCGTTGCCTGCACCTCAGATCCATTGCTTTGGGAACTACATGCTGCGTTTTGGAGGAATGCCCACTATGCTACACATGGTCAGGGGACTCCTGCTAGGCAATGGGGAAAGGCCACTTTCACTTTCTGAAGATCAGAATTTTATTTCCTATTTGTGTCAGGGACTTCAAGTCCAAACACAAGAGTGGGAAATACTGGTTACTCAACAATTACCCCATTATATTTCAGCCTGTGACATGAAAATTGAGGAAGAAAGGTTATTTGATCTCTGAAAACTCAGTCAGGAAATAAGAGCCACGACATGAACAGATATGTGCATACCTATGTTCATCAAAGCACTATTCACAAGAGCAAAAAGATGAAGCAACCTAAATGCTCATCAATAGATGAATGGTTAAGCAAACTATGGGATACTACGCAACATTAAAGAACAATGACTCTGCGAGACATCTCATATCCCGGATAAACGTAGAGGCCATTATGCTGAGTGAAATTAGTCAATCACAAAAGGACAAATCTTGTATGAGACCACTACTGTAAAAAGTCAAGAAGAGGGTTTCACAAATACATATATATATTCTTTGATGGTTACCAGGGGTGGGAGGGGGAAAGGAGAATAAACAACTAACTAGAGGGTAGACACATACTAACTTAGGTGAAGGGACAAGCAATAAAAAAGTTACCAAAAAAAAAGACTTAAGTCACAACTGGCAATCATTTTCTCCCTAACCTCTGAGTTCTTTCCCCCTTACTAAATTAAAACTACAAGATTATTTAGAACACTTTTGAGAAGGTAAAAAAATTTCAGAACTCTTTAGATGCTATTAAAGTATAACACTATATACCCCCTTTTCAGACCCTGAAAGTTGAGAATTTAACAATTAAAAAAAATCAGTTCAATTTCTTGTCATCCAGAAAGTTAACACTGTGAGATTACAGGTAATGTTCAGTTTCCAGATTTTCTACAGTGAACATATATCACTTTTATCATTAAAACAAACGTTATCATTGTTTTAATCATCTCTTGAAATAGTTTCATTTCTCTTTACTATTCTGTGAAGAGCAAAAATATTTTTCTTCCCACTGTACAAAATGGAAAATCTTGGCACAGATTAAGCAAGCTAAATTTGTCTCAGACCACAGAGCAAGTACAGGCAGACATGGCATTCTGAGCTCCAGGCCCCATCGTCCTGGAATGGACCTACGCAGGTTGATGTACAAGAATGCTTGGACCTGGAGCCCACAGATGGGAGATCAAATGTGATCCTAAGGACCTTCTCTCATTCATCAGGCACTACACGTATGACCTCATTTCAGTTCCCTGAGACAAAAGTCACATGCCTTTGTGACCGATGTTGTTATCAGCCGATTCTAGGGGCTGAACTTCACCCTTGACTGCAGTTCAAAAGGGGAAATCTGATCCCCCCTGGTAGAAAAGAGGACCAACGCCCACACACTGCTCATACGTAAGCAAGAGTAAGCAAGAGCAAAAGAACCTGCTCGCTCAGGCAGCTGCACAGGAAAAGGAGAGATTGCTTGCTGAATTATTCATGGATCTCCCCGGGCCCCCTGCTGTGTGCGTGGCAGCAGCAGATACTCGCTGCAGAAATACCGGTGTGTGGGAATGTCAGATACACGTTTGTCCCACCTCAGGTTCCTGGGCCTCTGGGTGCATCTGCCACTATTCTTGTGCAGGGCTGGGAGTGCCCCAGGAGCTTGAGTGCCCGCCCACTCTCAGGAAGACTCAGCCGGCAGGAGAAAATAGGTTGTGGATGTGCCTGCACCTCCTTAGCATTAAATGGCGATTGCACACTGGTTCTCCTAGAGACCTGGCAGTCCCAGCTCTTATTTTGCCACTGTTGTTGTTGTAGTTGTTTGCCGAGCGAGCTCTTTCTCTTCCTAACATCCCAGCGTTGAAGGAGTAGTGAAATAAATCCAGCAGCTAGGGAGTTATGGACTGGGCTGAGCTGCCTACCTGGATGCAGCCGCCCCCCGGAAGCAATGAGCAAGTGGAAGCAGCTGAGCTGGGTTTTGCTGGGGATGATGACAGCATTAGCTAGGGAGCAGGTCCTGAGGGTCCCTGCGTTCTAACAGTGGGGGTTCTTGTTTATCTTTAAACAAAGGAAAGAAAGAAAACAAAATGAGCAGTGGTGAAAGCTTTGGCCTTATTTGTTTCTGCTCTGCTTAGGCATTTTCCTTAAACCTTCATGTGAGTAATTTGGCAAATGTGCTGAAACTGGTCCTGTATAGATAACTATACTAGGTGTTTATCCCTCTGAATCATTTGGGATTTCCAAGGCAGTTAGACGCTGGCCTCTGGGACAGCTGCCCATAAGATAGATGAGGAGATAAGAGGCTAGAAGAATCTTTATTTGGATATTGTTGGCAACAGACATTATAAGTGGAAGGCTGGAGCTGGAGCTGGAAGCCCCTCACGCTGAACCAAGCTGGTCCTTTCTTTGGTTTTCTACTTGTTTTGTGTGTTTCCCCTTTTTGGCTCATTTCCTCCCCCCTCCTTCCTTCCTTCTCTTCCCATGGGCAGACATCTGTCCTCTGTCATTGCAGTCGTGGCTGTGGCTGGGGACTAGCAGTCTCTGATTGTGGCTGCTCCTTGCCTTCTTTCCATGCAAGATCCCGGCTCCCAATGAGACCCTTCCTCTGCTAGAATGAGCAAGGCCAGTGGCTGACAGCTGAGCCTGCCTGGCAGGCCCTGCTGATGGAGAGTCTGCCCCTCCCTTCTCACTCCAGGGCTCTCCCACATTCTCAGGATAACTTTCGAACCCTTGTTGTTGTTGTTGTTGTTATGTGCCTTTGAGTCAGACCTGACTCATAGCAACCTGTCCTTGGGTTTGTGAGACAGTATCTCTATGGAAGTAGATTGCCCAACTTTCCTTCCGAGGAGTGGCCGGTGGATTTGAACTGCCAGCCTTCTGATTAGCAGTCAGGTGCCTTAGGCACTATGCTACCAGAGCTCCTTAGGATTGGCTTTAGTGCAGAACAGGCTCCCACCAGGATCTTTTGTCAGTGTTCTTGATTTATGAACTTAATGTGGGTTTTTATAAATCTAATGGTTGATTCTACAAGCTAAAGGTGTTTGAACTTTCACCACCCTCCTCCCAGGCCCCCTAGCCCTGCTTTTCCTCCAGGCACCACCTGTCTAGGTGCTGCTGAGGTGATTCTCCTTCCTGCCTTGGAGACCCAGAGCAGTGTCTGCGTGTGAGGCCTAGCTCCTCCCCCGGCCAAGCTCTAGGTTACCTTATGCCATCAGCCTTGTCTTTTCCATTAAGCAGCGTGAAATCGCTCACGGTTCAGCCAAGGTGAAGCAACACTACTCTCCTGCTGAGCAGACACACTTGGCTTGTGAAGGAGCCCACAAAGGAGAGCCCTTACATCCCATCTAGCTCCAGACAAAGAATTTCTTGAAAGCCAGTCACTTCAAGCAGAGCAGGGAAATGCTTTCTGCCTATCTCTTGCTCCTAGCCTATAGACTAAATCTCACTCAGTGATGAACTGAGACAGATCCATTCTCTGGCAGGAAATGCTCTTTAGGCTGGCACAGCAGAAGTGAGACGTGGTTATGGGGAGGGGCATTTCTCCCTGAGAGCAGCAGTTGAAAATGCATTGATCTCAGCCAACAGGGGTTTGTACAATCAATTCCCCCACTGAGAAGCTGGCTGGATGCCCTCCGACCAGAATGCCACAGTGTGCTTCTTGGAATCCCCAGAGCGCCAGCCTACTGGCCACATGGGTCGCCGCCAATTTGAGAGGTCCCTCAGACTTTGCTTGAGGATTGTCTGCTTCCTGGGTGCCATGCATGTGCTTCAGCCACACATCTGGGTACATGGTCTTGGGGTCAGTCTGTGAATGCATCTCCCTGCGGGCATCTGTGTGTCTGGGCACGTGGGGCAGAGAGGAGTGTGCCAGCAGCCCTGGAGTGCATGTGTGTTTGCATGTACAAACAGAGGGCTGTGTTAGAGCAGTGAACTTCGCAACAAACAGGAACAAAGCCGCTTTCTCTTCTGAACTTAAATGATTTAGGGGGGAAGAAAAATACAGCTTGTAAATTGCCTGGACATACTCAGCAAGACAGCAGCTTTGTTGGAGGAAAATCTTTGTTTGGGAGCATTCTGTTCCTGGCAGGATAAAATATGGTACCCTTTTTTTAAAAAAAGAGGAAAAGAAAAAGGAAGAAGAAGAAGATTGGGCTAGCAGAGGAAATTTCTATCTAGTGTCACAACTTTAAATACTGTCAGGATTGTTCTTTGCATGGATTCAGCCATTAGAAAGAACAACAATATTAAACTGTTTTTTCATTTCCTGGAATCCGTATTAATTATCTTTAGGTTGTATCTAGACAAAACACACAAATAGGAGAAGAATCCTACCCCAAACCAAGTGACTTCCAGGCGTGACCAGGAGTACAGGGAGGGTGATAAAGCCCAGCTGACCCCCTTTAAAATGACTTTCAAAGTACCTTTCAGCAGAGATCCTAGAACCACATGAAATATTACAACTCCTCATCTTTTAAGTCAAGATAATCTATCAGGGCAACTAGGTAATCAAAGCAGGGCTCCTTTCCATGTCAACAGTTTGATTTATTTTTCTTTTAATTTTAATTGTGATAAAATAATATATAATACTTGCCAGTCCATCTATTTTTTTACACGTACAATTCAGCAACATTACTTACATTCATCATGTTGTGTAGCCATCCCTACTATCCCCAGACTATTAACAAAAACCAAACCACACTCACTGCCATCGAGTCGGTTTTGACTCATAGAGAGCCCTCCATGGGTTGCCGAGGCAGTATCGCTATGGAAGTGATTGCCCCGTCTTCCTTCTGAGGAGTGGCTGGTAGATTTGAACCGCCAGCCTTCTGGTTAGTAGTCAAGTGTCTTAGGCACTATGCCACCAGAGCTTCTTTCGCAAACTATTAGCAGTGTGATTTTGAGAGCTCTCCAGGATGTTCCAGGGAAGGAGCCTTGGTGGCACAGTGTTTTAAGAGTTTAGCTGCTAACTGAAAGGTGGGTGATTTGACCCCACCAGCCGCTCCACAGGAGAAAGATGTGGTAGTCTGCTTCCATAAAGATTTACAGCCTTGGAAATTCTGTGGGGCAGTTTTACTCTGTCCTATAAGGTTACTATGAGTTGGCAGCAACTCGGTGGTAATGGGTTTTTGTTAGAACAGTGAAATATCATGATAGAAAAAGCAGGTTTATGGCCATGGCCTCATGGGGAGTCTGAGCCCCACTCCCTGTCAACCCTGGGACAGTTGCTGCTCAGATAGTATCTGAAGAATTCTGTATAGAACCCTCCTTTGCTATTTCCTTCCCAGAATTTCCCCATCTGGGCCCCTTTCTGTTATTTTCCCATCTTCTCAGGTGTCCCCTTTGTTTCGGAAAAACAGAGCCCGCGGCAGAAATGCTCTATGTAACTAGACCCCAGGGCATTGGCTGTAGGCCCCAAAGGTAATTCTGTCTGCCCATTGCAGCCTGGAGTCCGAGGTTGAGAGGCGTGACTGTTGGGTTCTCTTCTCACCTTGTCACAGGTCATTTTTTACAGTCCTGGCATATACCTCCATTTTCCCTTCTGTCAGGTGGAGAAGACAAAATGTATCATCCAGCATTATGTTTAAAACACCTTGAAATATGTTCACAGAAGGCAGGAGAGAAAAGCAACTAGTCCTGATGACAGCAATTCTTCCTATAGCTCCTTGCCCCAAAAGCTCTAAAAGCATTTTTGTCAATACTGATTACTCATGTGCTTTTTAACATCCCGGTGATGTTTAACGATGAGAATCTCCTGCAGTTTTAGGGAGGCAGGTGTGGAGAGTGGCCTCTGTTGAGCAGAGCCTGCTGACCACTGGCATGGCAGGTCAGCTTCCATAGCACGGCTGCTGACTGGTGGGGCCTGGAGGCCACCGCTAACATTGCCTGCTTTGTTCCCACAGCTCCCAGCCGGCCCAGCAGCTCTCTTTCCTTCACAAGGGCCTCCTGAGCAACCTCTACCTTCACAGGCCCGATTGTCCAGTACCCCTGTTCCAGTGGCTGTTCCAGGTGAGGGCCGCAAACCTACCACTAGGTGGCGGAGCATTCCAGCCTAATAGCCCTGGCAGGTCCCTGACTGGCTGCTGGCAGGAGGGGTTTGGTACTTAACCTCTTCTTGCCTTGGTTGTTTATCCCAGACTGAGAGGAGGGAGTAACACTTACTGAGCATTGATCCTTTTGAGGCTCTCAGAGAGGTAGCGGCAGAGCCAGGAGCCTCTGCTTTCCCCTCAGAGCATGTTGCTTCACAAGGTTTTGCTGGTGCCACCAGAAACCCTAGCTTAGCTTACTAAGGGACCTAGTACTCCAAGTGGACTTGGCAGTCTAATGTCTGGTGTTCCTATCCATGCTGTTCAGTAAATACTTCCTTTGTGTCAAAGCTCATCTCTTTTCTGACATCTCAGTTCCTAATCCTCTGCCCTTCATGCCATAAGCAGGGGAGAGCTGCTTAGGGCTTCCGCAGCCCTGCAGTGTTGTAGAGGTATGGGGACCCTCATGCTTTTGGAGCCGAAGGTGTTTGGGTATTTGCATGTCTCCTGCCGGTATGCAGTTGTAGGTCAGCTGGAAAAGCCTAGAAAACTGTTCCATTTGCCCCAGTTTGTTCACCATCAGTTGCTGCTGATACTTTTTGCCTTGGGGGAACACAGTCTGCCTGGAGCTTCAAACGTTTGCTCAGAGAAAGTCAGAAGCCTGCAGTGATGGCTCAGACACTGACTGCTGTGAGTTGAATGTAAGCCATGAGGATGCCAGCCTTGACCCCCATCCAGGACCATCCCTGGTTAGGGACAGGCAGGTCACAAGTTCTAGCTAGTCCCCTTCCTGCCAGTTGGAGCCTAGACCACAGCTATAAATTAGAGCCGCCATCCGGGGTGGATTATTCAAGGAACTCAGCCTTGACAGGCTGGCCACCTTCCAGAAAGAGCCCTCCAGTGCTTGCCTCTAAGCTTTGGGGTCTTCATATTGTTCCTTGCTGCCCCAGAGGAAGAAGTCCTCAGCTCTTGGGGCCTTTGAGTGACTTGTGCTCTTGTGCCTCCTCTCAGCCCTGCAGGGATCCTGGGTGAGTAACAGGGAACAGTGCCACCATTATTCTTTGGCCCCAGCAGCGCAGCTTCTCTTTGCTTCTTGCACGGTCTATGACAAAATGCACAATCGGGCATTGGGAGGCACAAAGAATCAGTCCGAGACATCACCCACAGAGAGGTCCTTGTGTGACCCTGACACGGCATGGATGCCTCCTTGGTTGGTCTCCATGTGGCTCCGAGGTCCCCATCCCTGTGAGGGGTGGGTGAATCTTCCCTCCTCTTCCCTCCCAACTCCATCCCTCCATAGAACACAGATGTCAAGGACTGAGCTCTGAAGTCAGATGGGCCAGGTTTGAATTCTGGCTCTGCCACTTACTAACTGTGCATGACCTGGGCGAGATATTTAATGTCACCTCTGTTCCTCCATTTCTTATTTTGTTAACTTGGTCCCATAGTACTCTTTGAGGATAAACTGAATAGTCCTATAAACTGCTTTGTCTTGATGGTCCCCCCACAGCACTGCCCATGGCCTGGGTATCTTTTGGAAGGAATGATGCTATCGCAGAGGTTTCTGTTCACACTCTTTAGGAAGAAGAAGGAAAGGTTCCTTCTTCCCCCCATGACTGAAGCCAGATCAGTTAAGGGGTGCACTTGGCTTTGGGAGCCTTGCAGGTGGGCTGTGCCTGGTGTCTGTTTCTAGGGGTAAGGATCAGGAGGGGAACTGACTCTGCCAAACACAGTAACTGTGCACAGGACTTAGCAGGTATAGACGCTGAAAGTTCACTTCTGTGGTTTTGGTTTTCTTGCAACTTGGAATATATTTCCAAGGCTCAAACCGGTTCAGTCTGGTTCAACCCCCTACTGAGCGTTTGCCTTTCCACCCCAGAGGTGGTGAATCAGAACCTTCCTTAACAAGATCCCCAGGGGATTCTTGTAGATTCCCAGGAGCTTCTTATGTATACAGAACCACCTGAGGGTCTTGTTAAAGAAGGTTCTGATTCAGTTTATCTGGGGTGGAAAGGCAGATTCTCTGCAGGGGCTCAAACTGGAATGAGCCTATTATAAGCCCTGGTATTTTCTGTAGTAACAATGACATTCATTCATTCAGCAGACATTGAACTCTTTAGCCAAAAAACCCAAACTAAACCCACTGTCTTTGAGCGGATTCCAACTCATAGAGACCTTATAGGACAAAATAGAATTGACACATTGGGTTTCTAAGGCTATAAATCTTTACTAAACCAGGCTGCCACATCTTTCTCCCAAAGAGCCTCTGGTGGGTTCAAACCATTGACCTTTCAGTTAGCAGCCCAGCATTTTAACTACTGTACCACCAGGGCTCCTTTTGAACCCTGTAGAGTTGTCCTGAATTAAGGCAGTTAAGGCCCTTGGACTCCAGCATTGATGAATTATCAGATACAGTGTGTATCTGGGGAGAACCGTGCCTTTGGACAAGGCACTTCTTTCCTCCAAGGACAATGTCCAGAGAGGGACTTGGCTGAGGGGGATGAGAGCCTCAGTCTTGAAAGGAGGTGTGCACCACTGCATCTACCACTCCTGTCAGCAGTTTCCCAATCCTCCCATCCCCCATGGGAAGCATGGTGGTGATGCCCAGCAGGCATGCTCCAGCACAGCATGACCAACAGTGGGCAGGAGTGGCACTGCCAAAGTGCTTGGCTCTCCTCTAAGGCCTGACCTTGTCAGTGTTGTCCCCTGACTGGATGGCACTAGTCAGGAGGGTGCTGTCCCATTGCTCATATCCATGTCATACTCTGCACATTCTAAATCCTTAGTTTATGATCCCAGACTCAAGGCACATTGAAATAAGGATCCTGGTGATTTTGAGTCAGGTAGGTGAGTTCCCAGGTTGCTTGAGGATGTGTGTTCCATCCTGGGTGCCTCCCAGAGCTAGTGGTTAAAATGCTGCCCTGGAAACAATCAGAAGATCCCAGAAAGGGGTTGACCCTGTCATTATCCAGCTGACTATAGTCAGTGAGCTCTTTTGCCCTGCAACACTGGCCCAGACATGGAAAGGCATGGCTGTGACCACAGGGGGTGAGGGACAGAAGGCCTGGGAGGTGGATGGAGTAGGAGGAAACAAAGATGGTTTCAAGTTATATCGATCTGTGCTTAAATCCTGGCTTTGCTGCTTTTACTAGCTGTGTGACTTTGGGGAAGTTGCTTGACCTCTCTGAGCTTGGTTTCCTCATATGCAAAATGGGAAAAACAATGTTACCCTTCTACCTTGTGGACTTGTGAAGGTTAAATGGAATAGTTTACTATGACTAACCCACGGTGGCCTCTGAAGAGGTTTACTGCTATTACTCCATAGGAATGACCCAACTAACCTGTTTTCTCTCTTCCTAGCTGCTGACATGGCCTCCAGAAACTTCTTTGGAAGCCTTTGGTCTCCTGTGGGATCTCAGCGTGGATAGGCTCTTCAGTCCATTTGGTCAGTGCAGGGTTGGGGGGTGGAGACTTGGCACTCTGTGTACCCAGGCTCGTGAGCTTGTACAGTACATGACTCTTGTTCCCCCCGGGAGCCTACACGCAGGGGATGTGCTGGCAAGGCCATTGCATCACTGGGGACGTGGCAACATCAGGCCATCTTTGGCTCTAGCTCTGGCATTAGTAAAAAGCTGAGCCAGCAGGCTCCTTGGCACCTTGATGGGGCCTCAGATCCAGATGACCGTGGCCAAGTCGAGGCTGACCTCACAGACTCTGGGGATCCAAGGGCAGTTCAGGGAAGCTGGGTTCACACTGAGGCATCTCTGGGTCCAAATTGGACAGCTTGCTCCCAAGTTCTTCCTGAGAGCCCTGGTTTGCTTGGGAGGGTTCCAGGAAAATTTCCATCAAATCAGGAAAGTTCCTTAGCCTGGAATTATAAGGAGAAGGGCTGCCCACTGCCAGCCCTCCTGCACTGAGAGGCCAATGGAGCCCTGAGGTTTGGTCCAGACTGGAGTGAGAGCCTCAAGCCTGTATTTCTGTCGTGGTATTTAAGGAGTGTGTTTAAATCGTCTTTATACTTTATGATGTTCAGAGTTGCACAGAAGCAATTAATTTTCCCTTTGTGGCTGCACCCTTCCCGGTCTGTCATCATTCAGTACCTGAACCTAGACACTTTGGCACCAAAAAAATATAATGTAACCAGTCAGAGTTGCTTACAGCAGACAGTGAGAAGCATTCACGGTGTCCAGACCCGCCTTTGTCCAGCTGTAGTCTGCCCTCCCTGTCAGAGCACGAAAGCACATAGCTTTCTAGGCCAAGGTTATAGACCATGATGGGCAAATTGTCCCCCTTTGAGTCCTACTTTTGTGCCTGAGCTGGGGGCCATCTGTCAAATTAGAGCATTCCAGACTCCTCCCAGCCCCCTGGGGGGACCCCTCTAACCACTGACTTCTGAATAGCGCCAGTCTCAGCATCCTCTCCCTTTTCATAACCTTTGCTCTTGCAGCCCAGGCTGCCATTTGGAGCCTCTGCAGCCCCCTCTGCAACATGCCTGCCCTTTTGGAGAACAGAGGCCTCCCTTGTCCTGCTCTTCTCCTCCATGCAGTGGTATGTGTCTCCTCCGCAGAGGCAGAGGGGACATCCCACTCTCCCTGGCTGCTGTCCAGGCTAAGGACCCAGGAGCAGCCCCCCTGAGTACACAGTCAGCTCTGACTCCCTGAACTCTGGAGCGTTTCTCATGGACAGTACCTGAGAGCCCACCTTGGGAAAGCCCAGGCTCTGATGTTAAACAAAATTGTTCCCCTGCTTAGTAAAATAGACACTGGTCTAGAGAATTCCACACCTGAGGTTGGGATCTCAACTGATTAGGGCAGAGTGAAAGGCCAGGCTCCAGCAAATAGCAGGTGTCGGAGAGCTTACCAAGAGTGGCAACTAAAAAACCGCCACCAGTGCATGAGGCCTTTCTAAGGCTAAACTGGACCCAGCATCAACACAAAAGTCAGTTATATTCCTCAGGATTTGTTAGCAATCAGAGGGGCTCTGGGTGTCCTTTGTGGGGCCTCCAGCAGACCTATTTGTACCTGTGATTTATACATTTATTTTCAAGTTGCCTGGTCTTAGGTGAAATGTAGTTGTTGTTAGGTGCCGCCGAGTTGCTTCTGACTCATAGCAACCCTGTGCACAGCAGAATGAAACACCACCCGGTCCTGCGCCAGCTCCGCGATCCCCACTATGCTTGACCCCGTAGCCACAGCCACTGTGTCAATCCATCTTGTTGAGGGCCTTCCCCTCCTTTGTCAACCCTCAACCCTACCAAGCATGACATCCTTCTCCAGGGAATGGTCCCTTCTGACAACATGACCAAAGTAGGTGAGACAAAGTCTGGCCATTCTCGCTTCCAAGGAGCATTCTGGCTGCACTTCCTCCAGGACAGATCTGTTAGTTCTTTTAGCAGTCCATGGTACTTTCAGCATTCTTCGCCAGCACCACATCTCAAAAGCATCAATTCTTCTTCAGTCTTCCTTATCCATTGTCCAGCTCTCACATGCATATGAGGCAATTGAAAATATCATGGCTTGTGTCAGCCGCACCTTAATCTTCAAGGAGACATCTTTGCTCTTCAGCACTTGAAAGAGGTCTTTTGCAACCAATTTGCCCAGTGCTGTACATCGTCTCTGGTGGCGTAGTGCCTAAGGCATTTATTTGACTGCTAACCAGAAGGCTGGTGGTTCAAACCCACCAGCCACTCCTTGGAAGAAAGGTTGGGCAATCTACTTCCGTAGTGATACTGCCTTGGAAACCCAAGGGAGGGTCGCTATGAGTCAGATCCGACTCGAGGGCAATGGGTATACATCGTCTAATGTCCTGACTGTTGCTTCCATTGGTGTCAAATGTGAACTCTTTGACAACTTCAATCTTTTCTCCGTTTATTGTGATGCTGCTTATAGGTCCAGTTGTGAGAGTTCTCACAACTGGACCTAAAAGCTTAAGTAAAATAGTAGTGGTTTTGTATGTGTTTGTGTGTACTTCTGTCCTTTCCTGACATTTATGGTGACTGGCAGTTGTTCCCAGACTATCCTGGGAAAAGTCTTTACAGTCACCTTTATTCCAACAAGCATCCTGCATAAGTGGAGAGCTGAGGCCAGCCCAAGGTCTGGCAGAGCCTAGGAGGTGGGCTTCAGAGAGGAGAATGCTATGGATTTGCTCAGGGTGACTGGAGTGAAAGGCCAAGGTAGCCCACAGTGCCCTGGCATATTGGTGTGTGATGGGGAATTGTTTTCCTGGATTGAGAAGCAACACGTGCCACCTGTGCAAAGCTCTTTGGCAATCTCAGAAAGTAGAATATTCTGGAACCTTACTATTCTTCGCGTACATTCCTGTATTCAGAAAAGATGCATTCAATGCCTCCTATATTCAGGCATCTCTGTCGAGGACTGAGGGAACTACTGGGATGAACAAGGGCAGGGTTCCTGCCCTCAGAAGGCTTACAGCCAAATAGGAAGGGATAAGCATTACAATAGGAGATCAGCCAGAGTCACTGGCAAAACTGTGGGAGTGCCAAGGAAAATGAAGTTATTTCTAGCTAGGTAGGATTGGAAGAGGAAAGGGGGGAGACGGTAATCAGGAAGTGCTCTGTTGAAGCCATCTCTCTCAAAAGATACATAGGGCAGAGATTGCAAACTCAGTTACATACAGAGACCAAGTAAAGTCAGTAAGCAGAGAGCACCTGACCTATGTAAAGGGGCTTTCTGTAGCTGTGATGACCATAGGTAAATGAAGATGTGATATTGCCAGATCTCTGTATTTTAATTAGGACTTTAAAAAAAAACAAAGCTGTAACTAACAAATGCTTTTGAGTAGTGGTGTTGGTGAAGAATACTAAAAGTACCATGGACTGCGAAAAGAACAAACAAATCTGTCTTGGAAGAACTGCAGCCAAAATGCTCTTTGGAAGTAAGCATGGCCAGATTTTGTCTTACCTGCTTTGGTCATATTGTCAGAAGGGACCAGTCCCTGGAGAAGGATGTTGTTAAGTGGAGGGTCAGTGAAAAGGGGGAAGACCCTCAATAAGATGAATTGACACAGTGGATGCAATGATGGGCTCAGATGTAGTGGGGATTGTGAGTATGATGCATGACTGGGCAGTGTTTTGACAGTGACAACAACAAGAACAAGTACCCACTTCAGAGCAGTTTCTTAACTCATACGACAAGAAATTTAGAGATGTGTGGTTTCAGAGTATATTGGGCAGATCTGCAGTATTAGGGCATCATCATGTACTCATGAGACATTGTTCAAGTCAGAAAGAGGAAAATTAAGAGAAAAGAGATCATCTCTTCTCATAATTTCTTTTTATCAGGGCATTTCCCCCATTTTGTTTGATTAGCTAGAAGTGGGTCATAGGCTTTAGAGGACATTTGCCATGTTTTCTGTCTAGCTGGTACCCTTTGAACAGCCTGGCTACATCTGAGGAATTTCCAGCCTCATGAGTCTTACCCCTCCAGAGTAGAATCCAAAAAGCCTTCTTTCAGATATTTCCGTTTTCAGTTTTGCAATTGCCATTTAGTTCTCTCTTTTTTTTTTAATGGTTTCTATTTTTCTACTGAGATTTCCTATTTTTTCATTCAGTATGAGGATATTTTCTTTTACCACCTGGAGAATAGTTATGTAATAGCTGCTTTCAAATCTTTGTCTGTAATTCTAACATCTGGGTCATTGACTAGATGGACAATTAAATATGAAGGTGAACATTTATTTAGATTGAGTAAAGAAACAGTACCAAATACTAGCCCTCTGGAGGTTCAGCTCCCTTTCTCCTAGATCTCTTTAGGATATTTACCAGAACCGTTTATTAGAAATGCTTCCTGATTGCAATCTGGTTTCCCTACCCAACCTAGACCACTCACAGGGGCTGTGCACATGAGGGGTCCTGGAGCTTAAGCATCATTAGCTTTATGGTAAATTGGCTTCTGACATATAATAAGCCTGTTTTCTGCTTAAACAGCCAGAACCTGTTTTTGTTGCCTGTGGCTCAGAGCTCTGACTGCTCTAATAGTCACTCTTGGACAAATCCCTACAAAGGTAAATTGGAATGACTTAGTTCATTGCTGGGGTGCACCCACTTTCCCTGAGCAGACACCTGAACAAAATGTAGATTTACTTCGCAAGGAAGAAGGGGAGTAGGACTCTTGGGTAAACAACCCACAGAGTCTGCCAGAAGCTAGAATGTAGATGTTGTGTGACATCTCTTCTTGTGTTAAATCTCCTCTTTGTGTTAAATCTTCCATTTAACAACGGCAAACAACACTGTGAGCCAACTGTAGACTATATTTGACTGTAGGCCACTGGTTTGTACCCCTGGAGGAAGGATTTGGGTGTGCAGAGATAGCAGGGAGTAATGGGAACAATGGCAAGGAGGTGGGAAGAATGGGGTTTCCCTAAAAGGGGATGAGAAGATGAGAAGACTTAAAGTTTGGGGCCAGATATTAGAGGGCAGTGGGGGTCTTTACAGGCATAGTAAAGCTTTATTAATCTTTGGCAAGACCAACATAGAATTTTTTTTTAAGACATAATTCACATAACATAAAATTTACCCTTTTGAAGTGTGCAATTCAGTGGTTTTAGGACATTCACAAGGTTGTACAACCATCACCACTATTTAATTCCACATCATCTTCATCACCCCAAAAAGAAACCTCATGTTCAGCAGTCACTTCCATTCCCCCCTCCTCCCAGCCAGTCGTCTTTCTGGGTCTGTAGGTTTGCCTATTCTGGGTACGTCATATAAATGGAATCATATAATATGTGGCCTTTTGCAACTGACTTCTTTCACTGTAGTCAATTTTTCAAGGCAGGGTCACATGGTAACTTTATGTTTAACTTTCTGAGGAATTGTCAGACTCTTTTCCAAAGCAGCTGTACCATTTTACATTCCTACCAGCAATGTATGAGAGTTCCAATTTCTCCAAATTATCACCAACTCTTGCTATTATCTGCCTTTTTTATTATAGTCATCCTTGTAGGTGTGAAGTGGTAGTTCATTGTGGTTTGGATTTACATTTCCCTGATGACTAATGATGGTAAGCATTTTTTCACATGCTTGTTGGTCATTTGTATCTCTTCTTTGTTGTTGTTGTTGTTATGTGCCCTCGAGTCAGACCCGACTCATAGGGACCCTTCCTTGGGTTTGGCTGGTGGGTTTGAACCACCAGCCTTCTGGTTAGCAGGCAAGTGCCTTAGGCAGTATGCTACCAGAGCTCCCATCTCTTCTTTGGAGAAATGTATATTCAAATTCTATGCCCAGTTCTTAGTTGGTTTTTTTTTTTTTGGTCATTTAATTATTGAGTTGTAATAATTTTTTATATATTCTATATTACTAATCCCTTATCAAATATGTGATTTGTTAATATTTTCTCCCATTCCATGAGTTGCCTTTTCATTTTCTTGATAATATCCTTTGAAGCATGAAAGTTTTAATTTTGAAGAAGTCCAGTTTATTTTTTCATTTGTTCCTTGTGCGTTTGGTGTCATATCTAAGAAAGTATTACCTAATCTAAGGTTGGAGCTCTGGTAGCATAGTGTGTGAGGCATTTGACTGCTAACCAGAAGGCTGGTGGTTCAAACCCACCAGCCACTGCTTGGAAGGAAGGTTGGGCAATCTATTTCCATATTGATACTGCCTCAGCAACCCAAGGAGGGGTCGCCATGAGTCGGGTCCAACTCGATGGCACATAACAACAACAACAATCTAAGGTTATAAAAGGAGCTCTGGTGGCTCAGGGCCTAAGACATTTGACAGCTAATCAGAAGGTTGGCAGTCAAACCCACTAGCTGCTCCACAGAAGATGGGCAGTCTACATCCATAAACATTTACTGCCTTGGAAATCCAGTGGGGGTTGCTATTGTTGGAGTCTACTTGATGGCAGTAGATTAATCTAAGGTTATAAAGATTTATACCTGTATTTTCCTCTAAGAGTTTTATAGTTTTAATTTTTATATTTGAGTCTTAGATTCATTTTGTGTTAATTTTTGTATGTGGTGTGAGGTAGAGAGTCCAACTTCATTCTTTTGCTTGTGAACATCCAATTGTAGTAGCACCATTTGCTGAAAACACTACTTTTCCCCCATTGAATTGTCTGGGCACTGTTGTTAAAAATCAGTTGACCATAAGTGGGAGAGTTTACTTCTGGACTCTCAATTGTATTCCATTAATCTCTATGTCTATCCTACATCAATACCACGTTGTCTTGATCACTATAGCTTTGTACTAAGTTTTGGAATTGGGACATGTTAGTCTTCCGACTTTGTTCTTCTTTTTCAAGATTGTTTTGACTATTCTGAGTCCCTTGTAATTCCATATGAATTTTAGGATCAGTTTGTCAATTTCTCAAAAAAAAAAAAAAAAAAAGGCACTTTGATCTTGATAGGGAATGCATTGAAGCTGTAAGTGAATTTGTCAAGTATTACCATCTCAACAATATTAAGTCTTTCAGCTCATGAACATAAGATGTCTATTTATTTAGGTCATTCACTTCTTTCAGCAATGTTTTATAGTTTTCTGTATATAAATCTTGTACTTCCTTTGTCAAATGTATCCCTAAATATTTTGTTCTTTTTGATGCTATTGTAAATGTATTTTTTTTTTCTCAATTTTATTTTCATTTTGTTCATTGCTAATGAACAGAAATGCAATCAACTTTTATATGTTGACCTTGTATTCTGCAACCTTGCTGACTCGTTTATTAGCTCTAATAGTTTTTTTGTGGCAGGACTTGATTTCGAAAGCAAGCATATTCTTATGCAACTGATTGTTTGAAAGAAATTACCTCATGTTTGTTCAACCAACATGTTTTCTGTGAGCCAGTGTAGAACTGGCCAGTAACTCAGTACCAGTCATTCTGAGTAGGAAGCAGTGCCATGAGAAAAATAGCTCTGTCAGCAAGATCGAAACACTTCAGAAAAGGAGCAAGCAGTACACTTGTGCATTCTTTCCTGTTAGTGTCCAAAACAATGTTGTACATTTTTGCCTACCTATCACATTCATATCAGCTTCTATAATATCTGTGTAGGAGGGAGAGAATATAATAAAATAAATTTACCCTGGCCAGTACATTCTTCGGATATTTTTAAAGTGGGCGAGAAATTCGGTTCTCAGAACAAATTAGCTTCAGTCTCATGAGCAGGGTCTTTGGACACTTAGTTCTTCTACACCTAATCACCATATTCCTTTTATCCTAGGAGCTTCTGCATGATGATGCCTAGGGCTTTGGGCTGCCTTTGATGGGCCCCTAGGGGTTTTGTGGGTCACTTTCTTTTCTGTCATTGCTTGTTTTTTCCTTCTCCTTATTTCCTTCCTCTTTCTTCCTCCCTCCCAGGTAATATTTATAAGGTTGCTTTTTATAAAAAGGATAAAACAAAAAAATGTCCTATAATCTTACCACTGGTGTTATTCTTTAAAGTAATATATGTACACTGGAGAGAAAGATACAAAATAAAAAATGAGCTACAAACTAGCCACACACATTACAGAAGCA